TGCACCTTCAGTAAAAAATTATTTGGTCTAAACGAATTGAAAATCAGAAGCCCAATGAGGAATACCTAATAGTGTAAGGCACTTTTTTATTTATAATTTCTCTTTCTGTCGAGACAACTCGAGATCAACTTTCAGGAACTGTTTATAAATTTAACATCAAATAGCTCACCTGGTTTCAACGCGCTTGGAGGCTCGTAGGAATTAGTTCTTCTCAAAATCTGCTTCGTGGAGCTTTCAGAAGAAGTTTTCAACTGCTGCCGACTGATTTCCTCATCAGTAATGTCCGTAATAGTAGTGGTAGTAGATTGAATCGGGCCGCTATCAAATTCCATTGGGGCCCTCGCCCTCTGCTGCTGAGAACTGTATGCTGAATAGTCTGATGTTGGTGTGGGTGCTTTCACTCTCCTATTGAGACATTTTATTACTGCATGTCTTCCCCAGCTGGGAAACTAATGAGAATCGTACCTGTAATGTAATGCATCGGCATCACTACCGCCTGGAGTCCATTTGGGTTTAATTTTTGCGGATTCGACCTCACTTTCGTAATCGCTTTCTCTGAACTCTCCGCGAATGAATTTGCTGGGAGTTGGTGGAGGAGGAACGCTGGTCGATCGTCTGGAGCGATCTGGTTCCGGACTAAATGGGTACGATTCTCGCTGGGTGGTTTTTTCCTGTTTCCGATATTGATCTCCAAACTTTATTACTTTGTGCGTCTGCTGCACGCTCATCGTTCTTTTGCAAGTATCAGTGGATTCATCAAAGTGAACAATGTTGGAGGTTTCAGTTTGGACAGCGTTTTTATATGGAGCTGATGTAGTTGAGCTGAATAAGTCGAGAAGAACAAAACCTTTCAGTTTAGAATTGGGTTTGTGGAAAGCGATGGGGATAAATACCAAAGGCAATACTCATAGGTTGATCAAACGATGAATATAACATTGTTAGTTGAATGGCATGGTCTTCAATTTAATATGTTTCAAATAGTCGGATTACATTCAAAATTGTTTAATCTTACCTATAAAATTGGCTTTTCCTTGGTCCCGGCGCATAACCAATTTCCGGAGGAGATCCTGGTTGAATATAAACATTCTTCACGGGAACGGCTGGAGTAGCAACAACTAAGTCCGTTATAGGAGCCGCAGCTAACGCTTTCGGTTTCCTAACTATCGACTTGGGGACTGGAGTAATTTTTTCAATGGGCTCGAACTTGGGTCTTGGCTGTCCCTCAACAGCTGGAGGTCTTTCAAATTCCGTGGGCGGTGTTGGTGTGCGAGCAGGCGGCTGATAATTGGGATGAGTTGGAGTCAAAACTGGCCTCACTGGTTTATACTGTTTGTCAACATGTTGCCCCCAAATAGGGGGAACTCTGCCTTCGTAATCGCTTTCGTAGTCACTCTCGCGAAATTCTCCTTTAATAAACTTGGAAGGACTGGGCGGTGGAGGCGCTTTAGTCGATTTGACTTTGGGTGGTTCTGGTTGATAGGGAAATGATTCTAGATGAGTCTGCTTCTGGTGCTCCTCAGTATATTCCTGAGTGGATTGGCTGGTTATAATGGGAGTAGCTACAAATTCCTAAAACGAAATATATCACTGTTAGTGAAAGGCAAAACATATCTCTCCTCATTGCATTTGGGTGATTTTTTAGACGTTTCTGTTGGCTCTAGGTGCATTTCCAAGGGTTTTATAAAAAATAATTTCGTATAGATCAAAAGAATAATTTTACCCTCAAAGAAAGGCACTTAAGAACCAGCTATTGGTGCACAGTAAATCATGCATTTGTGCGGAAAATTACAAGGCTTTAATGCTAAGAACTCAACAGTAGCAGTTAAAAATTTGTTCATACACTTGGAATATTCGTTTCTTATTGGTGTTTGAGCAGACTGGTGAGATACCAGTAAAGCAAATAAAAAAAAATTAAATTCAAACGTATGAAAATAATTTTCCTGAATCGAGTGAATAGCTGCAGAAAGTGAAAATGGAAAAGCTATCCATCACACAGCTAGAGCAACTAAGACAAAGCACACACATGTAGTTATTTTGGGCAAACAACATTCAAGCGAACCTTCTTGACTGAAGAAACTGACGACTGATGCTTCTTGGCGGGGTATTTACAGACGCGGGTTTTAGGAACGAAAGTTTTTTGGGTAGATGAGGAGCTTTCGTAGATTTTCTGACTGGATTGGGATATATGACGGGACTCGGTTTTCTCCTCTCTGAAATGCTCAGTTTTGATGACCCTCTGCTGGAAGGGCTCATCGGTATCAGCCATGTAGCCATCAATAACCACCTTCTTTTTCACTTTCGGTGACTCAGGCCTCTTCTCTGGATAAACGTAAGTCGGTGGGCTGGCGGGCTTGATTTTTGGAGGAGAAACTTCCCTTCTAACTTGCTCAAAGTGCTTAGTCATCTTTTTAATTTGTGATGCATCTTTTTTGCGTCGAAACTCCTCAAAATCCACCTCAGGTCTTGGTGGCCCATGAAATTGCGGAGGTCTATCGAATTTGGAGGGAGGTAAAGGCTCAGGTTCTTGAGATCGTGACCTACCAGTGGCAACTAAAAGAGGAGCTCGAACTCGCCGATATCGTGGCTCCTCAGTGTCGCTCATCGAAGGCTTCCACTTTGGTGGAATTCGCACATTCTCAAAGTCACTCTCATAATCACTATCTGTAAATCGTCCTTTAACGAATCGGGAAGGTGTTGGAGGAGGTCCAGTTCTTGGAGGTCTTGGTCGATCCGGATCGGGCTTGAACGGAAAGGGTTCTAAGTCTGGAAACTTTTCAAAGGGCACATAAGGCAATTCTTTGAGTGGCTTCTTGGGTTTTGTCTCCACTTGTTTAATTGGTCTGGCAGGAACTGGCGGGGCCTGAGGAATTTCCTTCTTTGGTGGCAAGGGCGGTGGAGGAATCGTTCGTACTGCGCATGGAGGGACCTTGCTGGGTTCTCGTTGCAGTTCCTGCTTCAGATCGTGTTCGATAGTTTCCACGTAAGATCTCCTTCGCCCTGTAGGAGGCTCAGCGTATCCAATTTCGGGAGGAGGCCCCGGTTCTAAATATACCTCATCGGTTATATCCTGAACTGATACTGGTCTAACTCGGATAGACTCAATGGTTGGATAAGGTCGAGGTGGAGGCGGAACATATTCCTGAACAGGTGGACCAGGCGGCCAAGACTTGAGTGAGGGCTTCAAGTTACTTTCCTCCACAATGTGTTCAGACTTTGAGCTTGAATATGAATCACTTGTTTGGTCTTTTACTGTTGTTTCCAGTCGTGTTACTTCCCCTATATAGTGAGGTACAAGAACTGGAGTTTTGCCTAAAAAAGTCCTGCTTTCTTGTACAATTTTCTCCGATTTCATTTCGACTGGAGCCCATCTTTTCTCCAATGTGCTTTGTGTACTCCACGATGAAGTTGGTTTCGGCCCTGCTGATTGGGGCCGCGTCCAAGGCTTGTCGGTTTGGGGCTCCATGAATTTGTGGGCCCATTGTTTTTCCATCTGAAGCGCTTCCGTTGATGGTTCTCCTGACAAAGCAGACAAGGGCCTGCTGTAGGAATGTCTCTCCGTTGAGTATGAAGAAGAGGCGACTGAAGCCGGTCTATCGAATAGCTCCTGTTTGGTTGACCAAATTTTCTGTACTGAAGGTACTTCGGGTGTTTTCCTTCCAGTAAAAGCTGGAGATGAACTGGATTCGTAGCTCTTAGAGAATGAGGATGAGGAAGTTTGATATGAGGAAGACTGATAAGATTTTTCGACTTTCTCGGAAAATTCCTTTCGTTCGCTAAAGCTCTCTGCAGTTTTTGCGGGCTGTGGAGTAGGGAAAATTTTGACGCCTCCCTGAGGAACTTCATGAGCAGGCAATTCCTTTGAACTTGTCGATAATTTGTGCACACGTTCCTGAACTGAGTCTTGCTTAAAGGTCGGTTCTTTAGTAGGTGGGAAGCAAATTTCTGCAGGAGGTTCAGGTTTAAGGTCAAATTCCCTGATCACTTCAGAAGAGTAGGTTTTGTATTCTTGTGGTGCAGAAATTTGCTGTCTAGAAGAGAATGAAGAATATTCTTGAGTGAATGGTTTACTCGTTGGTTGAGTTTTTGTAGTTTCTCTTTGGAATTCTTCTCTAAATGGATGCGACGTTTTTTCTGTAGTCGAGGAGGAGCTTTTATATTCTTGAGCGAAAGGAAGAGTTTTTACCTCCCGTGTTACTTCTTTTGTTGAAGAAACCGAGCGGAATTCCTGAGTGATTGGCGCTGTTGATTTATTGTCAATTGTTCTGATTTCAGTGAATGTGGATACAGGAGGAGCTTTAGTAGGAGCAGCAGTTTCTTTTTTAACTTCTGAGTCAACGGTGGTGAATTTTTGGAAAATTTCTGGCTTTAGTGGTTGAATTGGTTCTACTGGCACTTCTTTCGGGGCTGGCGCAGCATCGCCCTCTTTTATTTTCTTCACAAAGTATTGCAGAGAAGATTGTTTGGATATGGAGCTGGTCTCAATGCCTCCCTCCTCAATCACTGTTTTTTTCTCTTCGATTACTTCTTTGTTCTCACCCGGAACGAATTCATGGGATATTTCATAGTCAGTTCGCTTTTCAAATGTAGGTGTTTTCCGTTCTATGGGCTTCGGCAAGGGAATTTCGGGAGTTTTATGTTCGAGCTTATAAGTATGCGATTGTTGGGAGGATTTTTGCTCGACAGTTGATGTGGATTCAGATTTTTTGGAAAATGATTGGGATATTTCACTGCTCAACGGTGCCACCTCTATTTTAGTAGGCACCAGCGGCGCTTTGGTACTTATAGTGGACGATGTTCTGTCGGCTGTTGATGCCTAAGATATTTAAATTTTGCATAGAAAAGAACGTAACTTAGACAGTTTAGTTATTGACCATTGTACATAAAATATAAATGCTTACCAGGGTTTCGTGCTTCTTAACATCTTCAAACACCACCGTCTTCACTACTTCAACCATTGTGTCCGGCGTGGGTTCGTAGACCGCCATATCAGCAATACTTTGAGCTTCTCCTCCTGTATTTACTGCCCTAACCATATAACGACCATTGTGCTTAAGATCAGCTGGAAAATGGCAAAATTTTAATGGTTCAGCCAATGTTGGATATGAACAATGAATAAATGTGTTTTTCTATTAGTAATAAGTGAGTACCTTTATCGATGGTCAAAGTGTGGCTGTGGCCCATGGATTTGATTTTGGCGTCGCTTAACGCGTCTTTAATTGGAATGCCATCTTTAAGCCAAGTAATGGTGGGTTCAGGAGTACCAGTGACTTCCACTTCCATGATAATACGGTCGTTTTTCTTAATAACTTGCGCTTGCAGACGTCTTCCAAACACTGGAGGAAATATTGTTTCTGGAAAAATGAATTGATTAAAAATGCAACTTCACATTAAAGTGGCACATTACTTCTGATAACCAGATCGGCTGTACTGATTGCAGTTCCACCATCGTTTGTAGCAGTGCAACTGTATCTGCCCGCATCATTCACGTTGGTGTCCTTAATTTCCACCGTCGCTTTATTGAGGGCGAACTTAATTTTGGTTCTTTCATCTTCCACCAGCTCTTTGCCATCCTTCGTCCATGCGACCTTTGGAATGGGCTGTCCATCCAGGATTCCTTCCAGTAGCACATCAACGTTTTGATCAACTATTTTACCAATCACTGGTGTGACCCACTTGGGTGCCCTGACTATTCTAGATGGCTTGGTAATAATTTGTCTTTGATCAACACTCTTGATTTCCTTGATATTACTTGAGTCGCTCTGGTCTCCATAAATATAGGTCTTCTCTGTTATGACTGGAGGTTCATTTCCGACCTTATGATATTCTTCAATGCGAGTGGTTTTTTGAGTTTGTGGCGCTCCTTGGTTCACTTGCTTGAATGATTGGGATTCTTGAGAGACGGTTTTATGTTCTTCAACGTGCGGTTCACTGGAGCTTATTGAAGAGGAAATTAGCTTGCTCGATGATGAAGTGGATGATTGAGTAACTACTTCGCGATTGACTGAATAGGATGTTTCTACATGCTGCTTAATATCGGTAGGAATTAATGAAGATGTTGTAGGCAACACCTGCTCTGGTAGGGCAATTTCAGAAGTTGACTGTACTGTTAGAGATGCTGCGCAGCTTGCTTTGCCCGACTCATTTTCAGCCACGCAAGTAATGGTTCCTTGATTCTCAGGTTTCAAGCTGGGTATGCTCAGAACTTGTCGATCTCCTGAAGTGGATATTAAAACGCCTTCTCCCGAAATGGGGTTGCCATTAAAGAGCCATTTAACTTTGGGCTTCGGTTTTCCAACGACTATGCACTCAAACTTTGTGGGTGTATCGGCAAAGGCTATTCGGTCATTGAACATTTCTTTAAACACCGGTGCAGATTTGACTTCTTCGTATGGCTTAGCCGCCTCGGCCAACTTGGAAGATTTTACGATTAGCTGGGCAAAGCACTTGGCTTCTCCTGCGTCGTTTGACGCCTTTACCGTGTAAACTCCTTTATCTTCCGGTTTAACATTTTCAATTTCCAGCTTGAAGTTTCCAGAATCATCTATCTGAGTTTTGAAGTGTTCCGTATCTGTGATAGCAATGTTGTTGAGCAACCATTTCAGCTCGGGCTTGGGTTCTCCTATCACATTTCCTAAAGGAATATAAATATTGCTTGCAGGTGAAAGTAGCCGTTTCATTTGTAAACTTACCTTCAAACACGACCTTGTCTTCTTCCGAAACTAGGATGTCGGTAAGAAGTTTTGTGAATTTGGGCGGTGTTCCACTGGGCTTTTCAACTGGTTCTTCGGCTTGTTTGGGTTCCACCGCCAACACGCATTGGCTAGATGCTTCCCCGGCTGAATTTAAAGCTACCTGTTGAAGATCGATAAACATTTTGTTTGAATTTAAAATAAACATTTTAGAAAATTTTTATGTTGAAAGAATGAGGACGACTTCTCGCTTACCACTTTATATTCTCCAGCATCTTCTGGTAACGCATCTTGAATGACTAGGGAACAACGGTCTCCTTGGAAAAGTAGTTGAAAATCTGGAGATTCTTTTACTGGGCGACCATCATGGTACCAAATCACCTCCGGTTCCGGTTGTCCAACAATGACACAATCTAATCGAATTTGATTGCCTGGAAAAATTACATCATAGGTAAATATTTTTCGGCAAGGTTATAGATTACTTTCAATTTTTTCTCAAATATTTCATCGCTTTGAATGGTGAAAAAATGGTTCATTTGTACCTTCTTTAACGGTTGTGTTGGCTAACGGAAGTTGAATCGACGGTTTTACCGGCTCCATATCGCTGGCCAGTTCGCTATCGGAAGTTTCGTTCGGAAGTCGCCCTTTGACCGAAACTGTGGACGTTGACGAAGCCTCTCCTGCTATGTTCTTAGCATTTACTGTGTAAGTGCCGGCATCCTTCGGGAAGGCTTCCAAAACTACCAGAGTGGCTTTATTTCCTTCAAATTGCAACTAAAAAATCGTTTTCTAAATTGAAAGGACTGAGCTCAATTAAGAAACATCAATGAAAATGTACTACAGTTGATATGTTTTAAATGCTGCAGCAGCTGGTGCCAAATAAAAACAAATTGCTTGAACAGAAATGGTTTTGGTTTACCGCTAGTTGCTTTGTGGTGCAATAAAATTTGTTACATTTCGAACGTAAAAGAGTCGTATTTGCTGCAAACAGCACATATTCAAATTTATTTAATTAGTTATTTTTAAACCAATTTTTATGCTTACTCTTAGAACTTTCCCAGATCATAAAGCGATCAAAGATTTAACACATATACAGCTAATACAAGCTAACCACCTTTTTTTACCTTAATCCAGGAAAACGAAATCACTAAAACAAAAACAATAAGTCCCAGATAAGGAAGAAGGTCCTCCAAGTAAAAATAGCGTTCCCCGTTGTTACACGGCATATTGAAGTTTCCGTAATTAATTTACATTTTCCCGATATAAACTAACCGAATCTTCGAAACTGGAACTAGCACACGACAAAGCCGATAGCCATTGCTTAGGTATTAAACGCGAATTTTTAAAAATTGAACCGAAATATCTTTAAATGCAAAGCTGTGCCAATATCGCTGGCTGGAGCCAAAAATAATTATCTCTTATAATACACCATTAATAATGCCGACCGTCTGAAATAATAAGCCAGTCCTCTGTACTCGAATTTAAAACTAATTAGTACAAAGCCTTTGATTTTAAATTAATGTAGACAATTAAAAATTAATTAGTTGCCTCAATTATCATCAAATAACACCATATACGCCTAAATTGAAAAAGTTTAAATCGGTAAAACAATTCAGCTGAAAGCAAGTCGCAATATTGTCATCTATGAGATCCTAGATCCAAAGCTAATGTCCACGACTTAATATAATTTCCCAAAAAAGTACACAACACTAGTCGAAAAATGAATTGAAAATTCCAATGCATAGTCTTAAAATTTAAGTGTGCTTTCAAAAATTACCTTTTTGCGAAATTTCAACCACAACCATCCTACCACCAGTATTATGAAATAATAAATCGTCTCAAAATAAATCATTTCGATATGATTTTTACACTTTTTTTACTTTACAAATCGGCTAAAACAATACCGCAGAAGTACCGGATAAACTGATCTTGAAAAAATTAGATTGAATACTAAACTCCTCCAGGTGAAATATACAAAGAAAGTGGCTTATTTTTATAAGTCTAATTTTAGATGACTATTGTTTTATTGCTTCGTAGTAAATAGTTAATTTATTTATACACTTTACATTGACAATAAACTACGTATCAATTAAGTTTGCTTATTATTCCAGTTTGTTCATGATGATTTGGATTTTTATTCTTTTTGTCTGCTTTAATACTAAAAGTGCATATTTGTTGTTAATAGAAAGCGACTTCCAGCGCTAATAAAATTAAAGTTTTGGATACTTGGCCAGAATACGAGTACCTAGCATATTTCGATCATATGATTAATATGTAAAGTAAATAACTACAAAATTGCTATTGGATTGCATAAAGAATTTTAATATTATTTAAATCTATTATATTGCGAAGTATAACAACAAAGTATCTTTATTTCGTTTAAATGATCAAGATCTTCTGGCATTTAATGCATTCTGAATCCAAAATCCATCAACTGACTGCGAATCAATTCAACGGCTAATTTATCTGCTTAATTTAAAAAATGTCTGTTTGAAGCTGCTGAATTTTTCGGGATTTTAGGTCGTGGTGAATTAAAATTTTTCGACCTAAAAGACCAAAAAGCTCATCAGTTTCAAACTATGACCGCAAAAAATTGACACTTGCGATTTAGCCGTTTGGTTCGCTAATGTCTAGAGACTGAAAAAGATCTAGATTATATTTGTTGTATATTTAAGTTTAAATGTATAAATTTGTCGTCTCTAATTGAGCGTTTTTTAATTAACTGCCTTTGGATATATCGGACCTGTAAAAGTTTTAACTACATATTTTGTCGTGTTTTCTCAATTGGTTATTTTCATTTATTATTCATTGTCTACCTGTTTTAATGCAACTCAGAAATATACATAAAAACATTCCACATGTTAAAAGGTATATTAAAAATAATTAGTTTTAGCCATTCTGCAATTAGTTACAATGCATGGATCATAAATTTCAATATTTTGCCCAAAGACGGGTCCATTTCTAAAGTAATCTCAAATTCTTGTTAATATCTGGAAGCTCGGTGGTGTGCTAATTTTGGGATTTCGACTTGTTATTTCAAAAAAACGGGGCCTTTGCATAAACTACCTTTTTCTATAAGAAATTGTCAGCCATATAAGCTCTTAAACCGCTTTAATTAAAAATAAATCGATTAAACATTTTTCAAAAAATAAAGTCATAAACCAAACAAATGGAAAAAATAATTATTAACCAAACACCTCTCATAAATCTTAAGGTATGGTCTACGATAGGTATGTCAAAATTATGAAAATCGGAGAAAATTAAGACGAAATAAAAGAAGTGATTCTATGCGCAGCTATTTCGGCAGATGGTGCAAACCAAAAAAATGTTGTAAATATATTCAACGAAACAAGTAGTAATGAGCAAAGAAATTTATTTTTGGCAGCTTGACCATAAATTTAGTGAACGAAAAACCATAAGAATGGATACTAGGAGTGGCGTCTTCATCAGAAAATTATATTGTTTTGGTGGAAAGAAAATAGGAAAATGATAATTAAACCAATTACAACTTAGAAATGAGCCAAGACCTCGCTAGTGAAACAAGATTAAAGGGAAGGAAAACCAAATGTTTATCTTGCACGGAGGAATGTTTCAAAGATTTACTCACAGCAAGGCTTGTAATTTACTTGCCGTAATAACAACTTCTCAAGTATTTATGACTGTAGGTTCACAAATCCATATGAAATGACTACACAGCTTGCTGGTGAGAATTCAGCAAATATTCTCACTTTCCTTTCCTAAATTCCGCGAAAACTATATAAAACAGAATGTGGGATACAAAATAAGCAAAATGAATCAACTGGTGCACTAAAAATAGCCAGTGAAAAGTGATTTGCTTATAGAACCAAACTGAAATATTTCCAGAAACCATTTTCATCGATTATATCTATGGAGCATCGAATGATATTAGATTACACCGGTTGATATAAATCCAATTTATTCAAACCAAAAAGCTTTGTTTTAGAGCAAATTGTTAGCGTAGCACTTAGTGTCTTGCCAATAGAGAGCTCAGGTGTTTCATTTTCAAAGTAAACAGAGCTGTCGCACTTTTCCGTTATTTTTAGGAAAGTGTTATTTGCAAGGTCAGTAATTAGCGGCATTTTTAAACCTATTTGGATTTAAGGTAAGTTCAACGTTCGGGAAACTGTGACAAGTTATAAAACTGAGGTGAGTAATGTGAAATTAAATATAAGCATTATCTCATGAACACTGAAGTGAACAACACGTATAGCAACACTCAAAGACCTGAAGATCTGGAACCATAAGAGTGAACGAAACACACCCAACTAAGCAGGGAAAACTATGCAAAACATTTTTTTGGAAAACTTACCTTAGTTTCTCTCGTTTCCTTCACAGCTTTGCCGTTGTGCGACCAGGTTAGAATAGGCGGTGGCAGACCGACAACTTCGCACTCCAATTTTATTTTTTGGCCCGCCCGGGCCATCACATTTGAAAGCGGTGTTACAAAAACGGGAGCTTCCGCAGGTTCCAGGGCTAAAATAAGACAGAGTTCTTTTAGATTTGTTTTTAATGCTTTCGGGATTTTTACAACTGTCGCTCTGGCATTGCTTCTTCTTGCCTAATGGTCCGAGAGGCAACTAAGCTCGAGCTTAGAAGATAAACAAACATATACATAGTTTTTGTCATTTTCTTGAACATTAAAGTATGCCTGTATGCAAGTTTACTTTTTATTTATGAAGGTAACAAAAAATAGTTTTTTATTGCGTACATTGTTTAATTTGTTAATTTAAAAATAATAATAACGAACAAACGCGATTTTTTTACTTATTCAACATCTTGTCAGGTGTATTAAACAGATTACATCTGTTCGCTAGAAATATCAATTAATCACCTCACCATAGTCTGACTTTCGAGTCATAAAATTTATTTAGAATTGCGTTGGGAGGAGCTCTAGATGCAACGTTGACCGTGTGATTAAGTAAACTAATTTTTTGAAAATAATATGTGATTTTTGTCCTAATTAGTCGCAATCCGGCAGAATGAAACACTGAGTTTGGCAATACGAACTATGAATGGTTCATTAGATATTGGCAGAATATTTTTATTTAATCCAAAACTTATAGAGATAAATGTTTTTTTGAAAATTGTCCCATTTTCCCAGTGAGGCATAGAAAAACATTTTTTGCTCCCGCTGACCAGATTTTGAACAACTATTAGTTCTTTCAAAATCCAAACTGTTGAAATCATGAAAAACTTTTTGTAGACACCCCCATCGAATCCACATATGATTATTTGAAAGAATATTAAAATTAAATATAAACCTTAAATTACTAAATGCGAAGTCGAGCAGTTATGATATTAATTTTTTTAATCGCGTCGGTGATTGCTACACATAGAAAATTATTTAGTTTACTTTATTCTTAAAAAAAAATTCTTTAAAACTGTTCATTCATATTTGTGTAATATTACAGCGTGCCATAAATTTAAAAATTAAATTATAGTTTAATTAACTCTTTGATATTTAACAGATGTAATCCAAAATGCTATGAAATAACGTGCCTGTCCGTTATTATTAGTACAAAACTTTAGTTCTTGAGATTTATAAAAATGTTTTTGTGAAAGAATTATTACCCTTATAAAATGAGAGCAAAGAACACCACAATACATATACGTTAAGCCAGAATTAGGACAGCAACAAAGATTAATTTTTAAACAAAGTTTTGCTTGATTACTTATAAATGTTTAAAGGATGATTAATTTAAAGAATTAAAAGATATTTTAAAAGGTGCATACTTGCACATTTTATGAACTTGGTACATTTCTGCTAAGGCTACATAACCGATAACGGTGCCAAATAGTAGGAGTAATATGTAGTAAAATGTCAAACGATCTATATTTATCTTTTAGTGGGTTAATCCACAATTCGAAAATTTCTATTTTTAAACATAAAATTATCATTTTGAAAACGAATTTCTGTTGGCAATGTCTTGATTATTGATGTATTTAAATTTGTGCACTTAATTTTGTTGCTTAAGATTCTTTCACAACACTAAATCTCTAAAAGTACGCATGGAGTGAAGTTAAAAACCTCACTCCAGAAGCCAAAATGAAAAACTTGTCTTCAAAATGGAACAAACAAATGCAAAAATCAATCCAGTTATACCAAAGAATTCGAGAAAAAATCCACATTAATTTGAAGAAGAAGGTGAAGTTTGCCTAAATAGTGTACTAAACACACTGGCGCAAAAAAGATGAATTAAAAAATTCAGAACATCTATGATCCGAACTAGACAGTATACGTTGATGATCATGAAGTGGGTTCTCAAAAGGAAAGACCTGATCAAAAGTGATTCAAAGCAGTGAGGACAGTTAGGACATTACAGAAAATTAAGGCAAACATCACCTAAAATCAATATTGCCAACTAAAATATTGAAAAATTTCACATTAATAGAAAATCTGAAGGAACAGTGAAAATAACAGTAAATATAACTATAGAAGCTGGTCGAAAAAGCTCATCAGGAACTATAATATGATTTCCAACACAGATAAAACGTAAGACAAAATACCAAGCCTAAGTTCTTCGAAATACCGACCGGAAGAATATTCAACACTAACCAACCCGAAGAGCGAAAGCCCTAGGCGACATCCAGGAAGAACAACGGATCGTAAATAATGTATTAATAAGAAATTGTTAAATTGAGATGTGAAACTAGATATTCAAAATTTTGATATATCAATACAGATTTTTGCATTTGCTGAAAAAAAAAGAAAACGAAATAGAAAAAGGAGAAGATAAGTATTATAAATTGTTAGTGCGTTCGCTGTGTAAAAAAAAATCGCTATCTCTAATCTTCTGGACAAACCCACAATTTTAAAATATTTAAAAAATTTTATGAAAATGATAAACAAATCACATGCAATGCACAAAAAAATGCTCTTCTTCATTAACATTGAAAAAATGCTCAAAACCCATTTTCCAAATTATCTTGCCAACTTTTCTAAATTCCACAGTTAATTCGAGATTCGACGGATCCATTTTCAGATCGCTTAATGTTCATAAGCAACTTATCAAATCTAGACGTTTCTAATGTAAAATCACAAAATTTTAAGCTACTTACAAATTTAGTTTCTTTAAAGTTTTATTATTCAAAGTCAGTATGGAACATTTCAAACACTTTATTTTTGGAGTTCAATGCACTGATGTCTAGAAAGGTGGCAATTGACACACAAATATGCTAAAACTGTTTCCTGTAAATTATTTTAGTGTATGTTTCAGTTACTGTTAAAAATAATGAATGTGACCTCATTCCAGAGGCTTCCAAAGTAATTAATATAATTTTAAGGACAACTTCAGTTTGCAGATTCAAATCCAATATTTACTTATTGAATTTCGGTTTATTTGATCAGATATGAGAATATTGAACAATATCGATTAAAATTTAATCATTGTCGAAACTAAAATCTTGAAAGAAAGTCGGAAATTAAAAATCAGGTAATTGTCTAACCGAATCGTTATGCATCACCATTATAAAGATAACGTGTTATTTGAGTGGCAACCAAATAGCTAATAGAACACACTCTCTGAATAAAAAAAATCAAATTGAAAAACTCAACACAGAAATTACAACTAAGTTAAACTCACCTGTCACCACCAAATTAGCAGTGCTTTGAGCCGTGCCTAAATCATTCGTGGCTTTGCAGGTATAATCTGCCTTATAGTCCGAAGAAACCTTGTCAATGCTCAGAATAGCCTCTCCATTATTATATGTAATAGAATAATCTGGAGAACTGTCGATACACTGGTTATTTCTAAACCACTGCACTGTTGGGAGCGGATTTCCTTCCACTCTGCATTCAAACTGAAATTCCGCTCCTTCTTTGGCCACTCCAGGTTGTAGCATTTTGACAAATGTTGGTGCCATAAGCTGATCATCTGGTTCTGTTTCTTTCACTATCAGGGAAGCGGATGTTTCAGCTATTCCAGCCGAATTGCTAGCCTTGCAGGTGTATTTAGCCGAATCTTCTGCGAAGGTTTCTTCGATAGTTAGAGAGCAAATACCGTTGTCGAACGAAGTATGATAGTCAGGATTGTGTTGAATTGGGACACCTGCTTTAAACCATGTAACAGTAGGGTTGGGATGGCCAGTTACTTGGCATATGAAGGTCAATTTGGAGCCTTCTTGGATTACAATATCACTTAGGGGAGTAATGAATACTGGTGATTCTTGCGGTTCCTCAACCATGGGACTTTTTTCTTTTTGGAAAGACTCCACTTTATGAACTTCTTTGATCTCGGTGATTTGCACGGAATGTTGCTTGCGGATTTCCTCTTCAATTCTCTTTTGCTCTTCGATCCTAGTTTGCTCAATCCTGATCCTCTCTTCTTCCAATCTCTTCTGTCTATCTGCGTCTTCCTGCTTCCGAGCTTCTTCCAATCTAGTTTGTTCGGCTTGGCGCATCTCCTGAAGACGGATTTCTTCAGCTTTTCGCATTTGATCGAGTCGAAGCTCTTCCGCTTTCCGCCTCTCTTCATCTAATTGTGCCTGTCTGACCCTGCGCTCTTCATCTTCTAATCTAGCCTGCTCTGCTCGAAGTCGCTCGGTTTCCATTTGAGCCTTCTGCGACCTCAGCTGCTCTTCCTCGGCCTGTCGCTGTTCGGCTAGTCTTCGCTCTTCTTCCATTCGGGCCTTCTCTGCTCGCAATTTTTCTTCTTCTAAGCGTTGACGTTCAGCTTCTAGTTCATTGTGTTTTTCCCTCAGACGTTCCTCTTCTAGAAGTCTTGCTTCCTGTGCCAGTCGGTTTTGTTCCTCAAGTATTCTGGCTTCTTCTAGTCTGCGAGCATCGTCTTCCATTCGCGCTTTTTGCAGCTGTTGACGCTCTTCCTCCTCCATTCTGCGTCGTTCTTCTTCGGCTCTTTTAGCTTCTTCGAGGAATTGAATTTGCTGGATTTTCAGCTTTTCAACTTCGCGTTTTGCTGCCTCCACTTTCTTCGCTTCCTCCGCCAAAATAGCTTCTTGCTCTCTACGACGCTCTTCCGCTAACTTTGCTTCTTCTGCGAGCCGTCTTTCTTCAGCTGCGCGTTTTTCTTCAGCTAGTCGAGCTTCTTCTGCTAGTTTGGCTTTTTCTTCCCGCAACTTTTCTTCAGCCAAGCGCTTTGCTTCTACCAATCGCGCTTCTTCAGCCTTTCTCAGCTCTTGAGCTAACCGAGCTTCTTCAGCTAGACGCCGTTCTTCTGCAAGTCGCCGTTCGTGAGCAAGCCGTTCTTCTTCGAGTCGTCTGGCTTCTTCGGCTCTGCGAGCTTCTTCTTGCTCTTTTAGAATGCGTTGCTTTTCCTGTTCTGCGGATATTAGATTGCTGGAAAGCTGAGCCAGTTCATTGCTGATAGACGAGAATGATTCGAGCATTTCTCGATTTGCGTTTATAAGAGGAGCGTGTTTACTTTCATCAGGGCCGTAAATTTGATGGGCAAGGGTGGATATTTCCTGAATTCTCTCCGATTGGCGTTCTTCACCCGGCTGACGAAAGGAGCTTATTTCTTCTAATAAGCGCTCGGCTTCTTCGGGCTGTTTGACAGCGGTGGATTTTCTGGCTATTCCAACCAGCAGCTTGCTCCCTTCTCTGTACCAATCGTTTGCCTGTAAGGATAAATATTGTTTATTTATTAGGTGGTTTAAAATGAACTCTTGGAAATTACTTCGTTAATTAATTCGAAGTACTTCACGTTCTTATCGAGAACTACTTTAGTGTCTTCCACTTGAACTTTAACATCGCTCCATTGGGACTCCAGTTCGCGGACTTCACTTTGGATTCGCGGTGCTTCCGCTGGTAGTTCTTCTTCAAGTTTCTTACTTTCATCTTTCAGTTTGATTATACGAAGATCAAGAGTCTTAAATGAATAGAAGCTATTATTGCATTGGGGAGATTAAGTATTGTTTAGCTTCCTACCTCAATGACTCTAGTAAATTGTTTAAAGTTATCACAAGCTGCTTTAGACGCACTCAATGAGTCTCCTCCTTGAGTTCGTAGTTCTGTAACCTGGCTGCTGACTTCGTTGATATTATTTCTTACTTCTTTAGTTTCCTTCGTGAGTTCGCTAACCTTTCGACAGGTTCTGAGAATTTCATTAGTTTCGCGCCACTGACACTCAAATTCTGATGTTCTGAGTTCCAGCACATGTTGTAATTTTTCAATATCATGCTGGGCAGCCTCGGTAGGTTCCTTGAAAAAATGTTGGCAATTGCTAACTTTATTGTGGTTTAGTTGGGAACGGTTTTTATTTTGCGGTCAGGAAATTGCTGCATGCGGTCGTGAACATTAACGGTAAAGCGAAAGATATCAGGAACTGTGCCAGTTGGAGAATTGCCAATATTTTGAAAAACTAATCATTTCATTCGGAACAAAATATTTTGGAAATATTAAGGATATTTAACTGGCATGTCAAGGAGTAATGGTATGGTGTAATAAATTAACGCTGGATAATGTAGTGATCAGCCATGTCAGAAAATACTTAAGCGAAAATCGAGCTTATCCCAGAGCCACTGACACTCAATTAGTTTTTTAGAGTATTTAGCAGCATAACTAGCCAAAAATTAATTTTCTAACTTACTTGGTTTTTAATTCTCTGCTCTATTTGCTCGCACTCAGTTTGCGCAAATCGGAATCGTTCCAAAATAGTTTCCCGCGTTACTTCCGACTCTCTGAGTACCGATTCAATTCCTTGCAAATCGTCGGGTAAGCGAATGTGTTCCAGTTGAGCATTATAGTTTTCAGCCTTTTTGTCAATCTCCTCCAGGTTTTTAAAATAGCCAATAAGAACCTAAAATTGTAATAATAAATTTTTAAATTAATTTACATGCTTAGCTTTAAGAATAAATGCAAGGTATAAAGATTGAACTTAAGGGAATTTACACACCTGTAGTAAAATTTGATACTCCGAGGAAATTTCCACCAACTTTTGACTCAGTTCGCTAAGTTTATTCTTAATACCCAGAGTTTTTTCGTCGGCAGCGCCTGCTTTAGCAACGAGTTCTTCAGCGCTTTTGATTTTCTGTCCGACTTCCTGCTGGGCTTTTTTAATATCTGGAAGCACATTTTCCAGCTTGTGCTCTAAAAGGGCGACAATTTCCGTCGGATTGGTCGAAGAAGTCGTGATTATTGGGTACAGTTGGGAATCCAGTTTGGTTACCCAACTGATTGTCTGCAATAATTAAATCACATAAAGTTAATGGTTTTGTAAATAAATTAAATTGCTAGTAAATTTCACATTTTTCCAATAATCTAGACAAAGCAGATGAAAGTACACATATTAGGATTATTTAACATTTATTTATTGCATTTCTACAGAGTGTTCCGTAAATATGTTAAAATATTCTAATAGCATGTTCTTCTAGTCATTTAAAGAGGGGGTCGTCCTGAGATTTTTTTTAATTTGAGGTTTCGTTGTTGAGTTATTTGATTTCCAAAATGCCGGAAAATATTAGTTTTCGTAGTTTTCCTTTAAAACGGTTAAACATGGAAACTTCAATTTTGGCATAGTTTACAAGCTAATTGAGTGCCATTTTATGATAATGTTTCGTGGTTCAGTTTGCTTTTATACAAGGTAGAAATGTGGAATCCCTACTTTTGTTTTATTCAGAACTTTTTGTGTGCACTTAAACTGTTCTCGAGATAATCTTGTTAATTACTCCAAGCTATTTGCCAACTTTTTTATTACTCTTATTGTTTTTCCCTAAGACCACTAGTTTGCCCGCAAAAACATAAATACGTGTTTTTTGTCGTTCTCAAAATGTGTAAGTAATTAAGTTAATTTTTGTAAATTTTATAACGTTTTCATATAACAATTTTGGTACGCATTATTAGTTGATTCCTAACAACATAAATTATTTTTCTAAATTGTGTATTTTGGTTCAGATTACAATTATGAAGTTTGAATAAATGTTACTTAAATAAGAACATGGTAACAATATGCGCAACGATGTACACAAACAAAATTAAATTTAAATAACCATTCTAATGTTAACTTAGCAGCAGTCTTTTAATGAAATTAAAATTTACAGACCATAAAGTTTGCACTGAACTTCTTATTTCGTTAGAAATGTTAAAAATTATTTCCTAAAGTTCTTCCATTGTATTCACTTCTGGTGAATATACCGTATTTTTTAAATTGTCCCAGAAGTAAAAATCAAGCTCCTTTAGATCGGGAGATCTAGGAGGCGAGTTTATAGGAGCATCTTGACCTCTAGCAACCCAACGGCCTGGAAAGTTTCGATTAAGCCGAAGCAATTTAATTTTTTTGCGGGCAAACTAGTGCCCTTAAGAAAAAACAGTAAGAGATAAAAAAGTTGATAAATAACTTGTAGTAATTTAAAAAATTATGTTGATAAAAGCTTAAGTGCACACAACAAAGTTCTGAAGAAAACAAAAGTAGGAGTTCCACATTTCTACGATGTATAAAAGTACACTGAACTACAAAACACTAATATAGAATGGCCCTCAAGTAGCTTATTGAATACCAAAATTGAATTTTCCATGTTTAACGGTTTTAAAGAAAAACAACAAAAACTCATATTTTTCGCCATTTTGGAGATCGAATATCTCAAAAAAAATTCTCAGGAAGACTCCCTTCTAAAATGACTAGGCGAACACGCTGCTAAAATATTTTAACGTATTTACGAAACACCCTGTATAATAAAATATGGGAAAGTTAAATGTTTTGTGGTGTTGTAATGAATTCTAACTGTAAAATATCATTCAACATAAGTAATCAAGCAACGTGGAATATCAAATAAACACAGTAAATCATAGCTGCTTTGAACAATTGAAATAAACTGAGGCAATAAAGTATGCTGCCAAATGGATAAAAATAGAAGAAGGCATTAACTTTATATCGTCTTCTATAGAATCATATTTACTAATATCAGATACTCCAACATTTTTTTTAATGAACGGAGGTAGATTGCAATAAAAATTTTATTTAAAATATTAGTCAAGCATAAGTAAGATTAATTTTTTTCTTTTAAATGTGCAAGTAAAACGTCGTTATCATAATTATGCTAAAATCTGGATTGAACTGAACAGTGGGAAACACTTCCAGTTAACCAGCCAGTTTCGTTCTTTATTTTTAGACGTGAATTTAAAATAGCAAATATATATAAATTCTAACACTGGCTCGTGTTTAAGATGCGGATTTCATGTGTCGGTTGGCGGAAATGCTGTTTGTTTTCGTTTAATAAATTTAGTTCATTTTCCAGTATCAAAAGAAAAAGGCGAAACGCATCCTGAATATTTGAAATATTGATTAGTTTGATTGATTTAGTTTCCTTTATTCAAAATAATTTTTAAACAGTAGGTAGTAGATTATCAAATCGACTACCTACTGTTTAAAAATGATTAGTGTGTTGCATATTAAAGTAATCTATAGTTTTAGAGTATAGAGATAACATAATGCAACACATTAATAATTTTGGTTTTTTATGTTCATGTTCATCATCATATATGATCTTTATACTCTAAAATTATACATTATTTAACATGAGAAACGAAAATTATTAATGTGTTGCGTTATTCCTATACTCTAAAATTATAGATTATTTTAATATGCAACACACTAATAATTTACATGCTGATTTTTCACTATTTTGTAATTGTATTTGACTTATTGTTAATCTTTAGAGTATTTGTTTATGCTTCTATCTCATGTATTATAACTACCATCGCAAGCTTTAAGCATTGGAGGATTTAATTAAAACTAAATTTGTACGCTTCATCCTATTATTATTAATAATTTTATGTGAGCTATTGAAAGATTTAGATTAGTGGAAGCGATCAAGTTCTTTAAACGCTGTTTGATTGGCACTGACAATTCCCTATAATTTATTTATTTTAAAGCTATCACGTGTCAAAAAAGGCCACTCTTCACAATGTAGGTCCGATTTTCAGAAAATGTAATTTTTAAATTAAATAATACTTAAATAAAAATAACCATAAAAACTTTAAACACTTAAATCGAGAAGTCTTTTTGAGGAGGCAAACACAGCAAGATTTATAAGTTCAACTTAATTTATTAATTCAAATTTATTATAGGCCATTAACTCAATTCGACTTAAGCGAGTCAAAATAGAGCAATAAATGTGAGCACTTGTTATTTATGCGACTCCAGGTGGATGTTGGCTGAAAATATACCGGAAATATATAACTCACTATTTAAAAATGATCATTAACTCCCCAATTATTCATTGCTTAGCTTTAATAACGTTTTTCTATAAATTGAATATTCATACTCACTATGCGTCTTAGGTAATAATAATAATCATTTTTAGGATCTTTTCTTAATGTACATTTTTAGAAGCGCATCTCATTATGTTTTCTAATGAATCTTGTAATTTGGTTTATAAAAGCATTTTATGTTGGAGTATACGTAAAAACTTTCAACTTACTTTTGTACTCTCTGCCATTATTCTTTCAAGTCTCACAAGAATTTCGCGTTTTTCTACCACTTCGTCGCGGAAAGTTTGCCACGATTTGGTCACATTCAATTGCCGTCCAGAAAGTCGTTCCAGCACCGATTCGACGTACTTTCGAGCCCGTTGGGTGTCGAGATGTGGCTCAGAGATCTGGAAATAAAAGTCGGATATATTTAGATATAAAGAATAAAACAAGGGAAGCAAGATTTATGAGAACAGGGATACTTAGACACCTAGAAATAGATTTGGTTTAATTAGTTTTTATACGCGACTCGAAGATGGAATTGTTTGATGTCAATCAGATCTCCTTAGCGGAAGGTTCTTCAGCTATTGATGGTGTACGTCTAATTTAGACGCAAGGATGTTTAATTTCTACTTATCCAAGCTTGATATAAGTTTGACATTTTTTAACGTTTGTTCAAAAAACTCATTTGCTATAAGTAATATTTGAAAATTTTAATATTAAACTTTAACAAAATGGAAAATTGCATGTGTCATCGATAAAAATAGTTAAAAACTCAATTCATCTCGTTAATAAGCGTCTGGTTTATATTTTCTCATTAAAAACACTTATTTTCTTTTAATAGAGTTATTTTTAAATCAGAAATGGGAATGAAAGAAAGTGAAATAAACTAGAAACTCTTCAAATGGATGTCAATCCCGATACGCCCATCAGTTGGTTAAATGAAACAACTGTTCTCACACATTCAACTGGTCAAAAAATTCACTTAGCAAAAGTTGATTCCGAACTAGACACAATAGCGAATTAAAAAAGTACAGACCAAACTAGCACAAACAGCGTTAGGGACGCTTTTCTATTATCGGATCTGCGTCTGTCTGGATGTTTCAGACGCAACTGCTGGAGAACATCAGAAACAGACGAAAAGATGCAGATTTTAGTTAAATAAATTTAAAATAGTTGTACGAGTGGGTGAGGTTTTGTGCAAACAGCTATTTTAATCGATTAGTTATCTTAAATATTAGAGCAAGTCTGCGAAATTAAAAATTGGATGTTTATCAGAAACAACATGGTTTGGCTGGCGAATATAACACATCCTGTTAACAATTAGAGTAGCAGGTTCTCGCATTTTAATTTTACCTTGATCTATAAGTAAAGTGGTTTCTGAAATAATTTGAGAAATGTTTCGAGCTGATAGAATTTTAGTAAATGAGAAAACGGGGCTATTATTTTCCCATTTTCCAAAAAAATATAGAAACTAGCAAACTAAAGTTATAAACAGACAACTCGATCCTCAGTATGAGTAGCGAGTAAGAACATTTCATGAGTTTAGTGCTAGTTTTAGAACAACTCCTTCTGAAGATGTGGCTCAATAGTGGTTGTAAATAATAGATAATTAATCATGTATTCGACTAATAATTAAATTATACTTATAACTGTTTTAAAAATCTGCTTGTGAGAAATTAATGCAAATCTGATAGTATTCTGAGAATAACAATAGAAAAAGTAGTAAATATCGCTGCAGTGGCAAACTGCCAGTCTCCTAATTCTCTCATTACTATTCTGGGATTTGGCCGATTATCTCATTACAGAATCCGAAATAGTTCGTTATTATAATTAATATCCATGTTCACTGCTGCAAACTACCTCAACACTGTTCACAGTGAGTAACTCAAACAATTAAATAGAGCAGAAATATATATTAGACTCCCTTTCAATAAATAAAAGTATATATCCATATTATATGAGATAAAGCATTCAAAGTTGAACGGTTTGTTTTTAATTCAATTTCAAACTAGATGGATAAAATTCTGTATGTAATACAAAGAAAAGAGTAAAGTATGAAAAAGTATAACAACTGTAAAACATTGAATGAAAAAGCTACTTTGTCTAGCCCTTGGCAGACGGCACCAAATGTTCAAACAAGATTTGACGATTCGACTGGCATTTAGCATATATTTCTATAACTTTTATAAAATTTAAATATCCTTTTTACTGTTTTATCATTACTTACTCTATGGGATTCGCTGATGAAGGTTAGCCCAGTATTTTTAGCCGATTGGAAATATGGAACCAGCAACTCAAATTTCTCTTCAATAGTTCTCATAGAGCTTTCATCCACACTCTCCCGACCTCTTGTGGAGTCTTCTAAGGCGTCCATTTCTCTAAAATAATACAAGAAATTCAGATAAATGATGTACATCTTGTAGTGGTTTCCTTAAGAAATAGTGCAAGAATCAATTTAATTTAATGTAGCTGTTTTATTCTTTCCTAATATTCCCTTTTCTGTGCTTTTCATTTATTCTCTATGATTTTATTCCAATCCTAATTGACATTTTCACAACAAATAATTTAAATGTTCACGATTCGAAACACGGCATTGACCATTAAAGCATTAATTTGTCTTGGGACCAGTTCTTCTGTGATTTTAATGAATCATCCATCTACTCTCGTTGTCAAATTTCCTTTCTTGAAACGGAAGGAAGAAAAATATTTGCAATATTTTGGAGGCAGTGTTCAACAGATTTTGATTTCTTGCAGTATCGTGTTGGAAAGTGTCCGGAAAGTAAAGTTTTTAGATAAAGCTTTGACTTTTTAATAGTTCCGTCTGTAATTTGTCAATTCATCTTAGCAGTTTCCACTGATCAGTTATATTCACTGTTAAAACTTAAAACGTACCTGAATTATGTTGTCAGAAGAAATAGATTGAGATCATCCGAATATAATTAAATCGCATATAATTGGACGTTTTCACTCGGATTTCCTGCCGCTAATTAAAGCTACTCCATTTGAAATGTATAACACATGTTTGATAGTTTCTTTCAAGCGTCGGAGAAAATGAATACATTTACTATGTTAATTTTACCTGTTGACGATATCAACTTCCATAAAGAACTTCACATAAATCCTCGCCAAATCCAGCCGATTTTCTAACAGATTCTTCAACTTCATCCATCGGTTGTGGAGCCCTTCTACCTTTGAATCCACATCTATTCTTTGATTATCCTCCAAGTACTCCAAAATGGGGGGTAGAGTGAGTAGAAGTTGGTTGATTTCATTTCCTTTGGTCTGAAAAGTAAATGTATTTATATTTTCTTTTATTTTGTAAAAGAAATTAACCTCCTATTTCCTATTTTTAAATATTTTTTACTGACTAAATTGAATTTAAGTTCAAGTGAAAATGCGCAAAGTACATATGTTGGTTGGAAAGGAAATAGTGAAACCGCTTTATTATTGACACATGAATATTAATGTGTATATCTGTGAGAGGGTATTAATGTGATATTTGTATGTCTATTATTTTAATAATAAGTTATTCTGGGCATTTCGAAAAATTGTATACTATACTTAATTTATTTAATAATAACTACGTTAACACAGCAAATGTGTAAACAAGCCACCAAAATCAGTTGCGACTTGGTATCAGTAACACCAATTTTTTGAATTGCATTATATATTTTTATATTTTCTTTGATTGTGTCTATTATGTTTTGATTGAATCTGCGACTGTCTATGTCCCAGTTGCTGGTTATTATGCTCTCTCTTACTTGTAAGTCCACCTGCAAGCGATTGTGTAGCTGCAAAAAGTCCTCAGCCAATCGCAAGTCTCCACCCATATCCTGATGACCCTGCAAGAACGCTTCTGCAATGGTAACCAGCCAGTTGTAAATCTCATCATGCCGCTCAATGAAATTATTCAGAGCTGCCGTAATTCGTTTGTTTTCCTCCCTATGAGCTGTACAAAGACTGTTCAAAACAATCTTCATGTTTTCAAGTTCCTGAACCATTTTCTTCACTCCTGAAAAAAACCGTTTGCTTCTGTTTGTTTCGAAATGTTTGGAAAGTTGTACCTTCGGTGCCTCCTCCATGGGCAGCGAGTTCCAAAATTCCGTATCCTTCTGCAATTGGTGCAGCGGTAGAATCTTCAATGGTTCTGGCACATTGCGCATGCAGCTCGGCCAGTTTTGGCGAGCTTCTCGACAGCTCAGTTGTTTTCAGTTGAATTTCCAGTTGATCTAGTTTGGTAAGAACCTGCAAAAGCAATGGCTTTCAGTTTTTATTTAATGGTTCACTCCTGGGCCTTACTGTGTGAGATGCTCTGAAGAAGTTGATCACTCGTTCCAAAAGCATCTCCCTTTGCTGCAGATCGGCCAAGTAGTCAGAAGTTGATGACAAAATTACATAAGATTTTTGAGTGGCTTGATCTCCAGCAAAATAGCCTGAAGCTCCTAGTTGCTCTGTAGCTTTAGTTATTTTTAAAGCTCGCTCTTGCAACTGCCTGGCTTCTGGCAAAAGTTTTTGATGCTCATGAAGCAGCAATTCAGCACTAGAAGAAGAATCACCTGAAAATTATCAGAAATATGAAGAACTTGTGAAGAAACTAGTTTATGGTGCTCACCTAATTGGGTGCTATTTGCAAGCAGATTTCTCCTATCATTCAACACTTCTTCTAGCTCTTTTAAGTCTGATGCTAGCAATGCTAGTGCCAAGCATTGTTCCAGCTGCACTTTTCTTCTGTTAAAAGTGACTTCCAAAATCTGCCTCTTTATATGCAGCTCGTCCAACCAACCTTGGACTTGTGATATTGCTGTAAATAATCAGAGAGAAATATTTCATTTACCATCACTAGTGTACTTGGTTGAAAACACTTACCTTTGCTAACAGAAGATCGTATTCGTTCGGGCCTCGAGTCGAGTGTGCCTTCAGCTCCCAGTTCTTTAAGTTTACTCAATAGAGTGTTTCCCGCTTGAAGTGCCCCCATCAGTGTCTCTAATAGTGATCTGAAAATCATCAGACTAGGTTATAAGAGAACGACTTATGTGTTTTCCTTATTTGAGTTATTGCGCGTATGGCCTTAAAGCTTTGAATAAGACTTCAACTGTAATTGCTATGCGTGTATTTTGAGTGAGCCCGACTTCACAATAAACTATAGATGTTTTAAGCTTCATAGTTTACCTTCTTAGGTCATGTATAGTTGTTAAGAGCGCTTTCACTGCATCAATGACTGTTGGTAGATTCGAATCTGAACAGGCTGATTCGAGGGCATCATTTTTTCCAAAAAACTCTTCAGCTTTTGTGTGATACTGAACGTTGAGATCGAGGATTAGCTGAAAACAAAATCTTACATTTTATTTCGTTGAATATAAAGAAACTATTTTAAGTGTTTGTTGCAGAAGTAGCATAAAAGTCCCACTTTTCGTCAAAACCTTTCATCTCACAAAAGTTTTGTGCTTTTTTCAACAATATTTAGATGCAACTTTCGGTAATAGATGTACTGATTTTCACCTTGCGCAGTTCCAAAGTTGCATTGATATCTCTCCATGCTCTACCCAAAGATTCTGCCATAGCTGCATATACTTCAGCTCTTGGCCTTTGAGTGGCAATAAGCTGATCGGCCTGCCTAAGAAGTTCTTCCACCGGACTTTGCTTGTTCTGAAAAAAACAATACGTAGAAAATTACTAAAAAGTTTTTGCAGCGGTGGTCAAACTCATCTAAATAACCATACAGCCAGTAATCCCTACTTTATAATCCCAGTTTATTGCTTTATGCCGAGAATGAACCTTAAACTACATAAATCAAATAAAAGCGTGTTTAGCCCACGCAATGGTACGGCCAGAACGCCTACTTGCTCACTCTTTCAAGATATTTGCATTTTACTTTCAATTGGGATCTGCAAATTCCTCAGCACCATAATTACGTCTAAGGCTTTATTGGGTTTTATGATTTTGGAATATATAAATTGGCATCAATATCAAATGAAATGCATATTTACATTTTTATTGTATTTGAAAAGACCAAAATGATTGCGAAGAGTAAGTATTTTTCTCCTAATAGTGCGCGTTCTTCTTATTGAATATATAAATTATCAATTTTGAACAATGCGGTAATTTGTTTATGGAAGTCAATGGTCGTTTTAAATTTCGGATCTGGAAACTGCAGAAACTTTCAAGTTTTCTACATTATTGCCATAACACAAAAATATTTTTAAAAGATCTAGTTTTTATTGTAAGTTTTAATAATTTTTTGTATGTAGTTATTGTTAAAATCTCGTTTCAGGTTTCAAGATTTAGGCTATTTTCGTTGGACGGAACCGCGCACTTATGATAATGAAACATTGCTCTGTTTATTTGAACTGAAATAACCAACGCTCTGAGTGGATCTAAAAATATATATCTTAGAATTTTTAATGGTTGGATTTACATGAATTTGATGTAACCTAAATTCTCACGTGGTTAAACGTCCGGCATAGAGTTGAAAGAAAATTTTTATTTAATAATCAAGTAAACCGAACTTAAAATAATAAATCCTTTTTCTATTTCGAAAACTTCCACTAAAAATTTTTTAAATAGAAATTTTTTTAAAAAGATTAAGGGCAATTTATTGCACCCAACTTATAGGCTTTTGCCAACAGCCATAAAAGTGAATTTGGAATGAATGACAACAATGCTTTACAAAAAGAAAAAACACAAATACTTACTTGAAGCTGTCGCAGAACTTCATTATGTGCCTTTTGAAGTTCCAAAGCTTCTGCGAGTGTGTTTCCCAAGGTGGTAAGTTCTGGCGTAATTTCGAGTATTTTAAGTTGAATCCAATCTCCGCACTGAAAAAGAATAAATAACTTAATAACTGGTACACATTTTATGAATCGGAGACTTAATTTCAGCTTTGAAAATATTTGGCCATATAAAATAACACATATTATGGTAATATATTTAAATTAAACTGAAAAGCAAAACATACGTTTTGTAACTGACGCGAGTTTTATTTAACATTCAATTTTCATACCTATTTAACATGCAGTTTTCATACTTATTTAGCATGCAGTTTTCATACTTATTTAACATTTTCTTCTCAAAATCGATTTTTTTGCTTATCAAAAATACTTTACTATAAACTCACTGTATATTCGAGATTCTGCAGTATGAATAACATACAACTAGAGGTTCCGCCTCGATGAAAGTTTAGATTCTAGTGAAAAGATTATTTAAAATACATTTTAAGCTCTAATAGTTTTCGTTTTCCTGCAATTGCTTTCATATACTTGTGACTTCTTTCACGATAGGACAAATGCGATTCACTCCAATCTTGGAGCCTGGAAAAATATGTTGCCAAAATCCCACATGAACATCAACAGATGCTTAAGAAATTGGAAAGGTGTTGCCTTTTTTAGGCACATCACACTCTTCATAAATTTACATTCACGTTGGATTCATTAATGCGTAAGATGTGCGTGTAGAGCAACAATAATTCGTGAAGAATATTTATGTGCAGCATAAGCTACAGAACACGTTTTTTAATTAATTAATCTGGGTTTAGCGAAGTGGAGATATTGGAAAAGCTGGAACTTCTTGTTCGATTCGTTTCCAGTAGGTTTCTGAATTATATTGTTTTTCTCTATTCAAATGCAAATCCTGAATAAACTTGTATGGAAGCAGATACAACTGACGGTTTTATAAAAGCATTATTAGGTAAATAAATAAAGTATTATAAAACAAATAAAAACACTTTTCTGTTAGTTTTAAGCGCATGGTAGCTAAAACGTGAATCTTATCTCACGTAAACAATAACGTTAGACCTACGAGACATATATTAATTAGTTTCAAATTTAAAATAAACGATTGTTCACACTTATATTAAGTAGTCTATAAATAGTTGTGATGAAGACAGCATTGAACAGTACAACAAGTGGTAGGAAGGTGTTGGATTAGTTTCAAGTAATTAACTTCAGTGGTCGCGAGAAGTCGTCATCAATAGATTAAGTGCAAAACAAACCACAGACCGAAGAATCAAAGCAGGTTTTTTTTTTCAAATATTGCACTCAATATGTGAATAAGCTAAATTATGTCTTCAATTAGAACAGCAGTTACGCTTAGGTAACATATTTTACTATGGATTTAGTAATGAAATTGAAAGACGAGCTTATTTATCGGAAATAAAGCTTTATTTGAGATGTCAAGGTTGGTACTAAATGGGTTCCCACAATTGTTATTTATGGCCACGCCTTATTTCAAGCACTAATTCACAGAATCTGCCGACAGCTTAGATGAATGTGGTTAAACCATAATCGCGATTTATAATAATCAGTTTAAATCAGATAAATCTTCATTGAATAATTTCGCAAATGATCTTAGCACATTTAGGAATCTGAATTTACGTTTAGTAAGTGTTGTGTGCTTATTATTGCTATATATAATTTTTATATTTTACGCCAACTTTTATTTATCAATTTAATTTAAAGCAAACAATATTGTAAAGAAAGCTAACAAGCACATAACAATTGCCATTTCAAAGTCATTAAATTTCAACGTTTGCTGTTTGTTGCAATCAATTTTATGACTCTAATTATTACCTGCCATTAGATGGATAACCTTTTGCCTAAGAGTAAGACAAATGTGTTTTATTAGACAAACCAGAGAACACACCATCTTTGGTAAGTTCATATTCGTTTTACGACTGCAATAATATTCTATGATGCTGTCCTCGTTTGGTTCTATTGTTAGCATCACCATATTAGCTCATCTTAAAAGCTTTTCCGACTACTTATCTACTTCTGGTCTTCTCGGCGAAATTATTAGCAAAATGTCTGACAATTTCTTGCCAAAACTGTTGGAAAATAAACTGTTTCATATAAATGTTTGTTCCGCGCGCCAATGAAATGCAGTGAGCACGTGAACAATACGCGTAGGGAACAGATCAAAACTCACCGAATTTAGACGAGCTGATTCTGTAAGAACGAGCCGTTCAGTTTTCTATTTCAGTTTCAATTGATGGTTGATGATTTGCATATAATGAGCAATTTTTCAAAAAGATAATTGTGTCAAATATCATCAGCGCCAGTGTTACGCGCACAAACAAGTTATTTTTATGAACATGCGAACCGCCCACTTAATGTTGTAATGTTTCGAAACAAAGTATGTACATATTGCCAGAAGGTGGACATTGTTTCCAAAGTTTGAATGAAACCCAGATTCATTGGCATAGTAAATCAGCTTGTATGTTTAGCTTGTATTTGCGTCATTTTCCGACTGAAAGTGGTGACACTCTTTACCGTAATACTAGTTGAAATTCACCTGAAAGCAATCATTATGTAGTTGAATTTTAAGTAAACTTTTTTCAAGTAAAAATGTTACATATTTTGCTTTTAAAAACCTTAATTAGCATTGGTGACAATAACGATAACAAACTGTGTCGCTTTCTTGTATTCCACCTACATGTTGACTGATGAAACCATAATAGAAGAAATCATCACCTTCGATATATCAGTAACTTAAAACAAGCGAAGAAAATTAGAAATGTTGATTGGTTATTGAGCACTCGAGAAGCACAAATTCCTTCACATTGTTTGCTGATTACTTCGGCGGAAACTAGAGAGATTTATTTAAATCGATGGTTTGTAATGACGACAATTTGAAAGACGCTTTATCATCAATTTTCTCTACGAATTTCTTGTAATAGTTTGTGCAGGTGATCAGGTTGATTAGTACTTAATACTTCCAATAAAGTATTTCATATTTCATTGGATTTATACAGCATATAACACATATCTAATGCACAGTCTATTTGTATCTGACGATTTTTTCGTCAGTTACAATTTTAACGGATTGGCACTGATCAATATTTAAAACTTACCGATTATTAATGTGTTGCAATTGAGTTAATTATTTGAGAATCCTATTTTGGATGTCAAAATTTCAGTATTTCGACAATGAAGTCAATATCGCCGAAAATAATTGAAAACATTTCGAAAAGTTGCCACAATCGGGCACATAATGTTTATTCTCCCAAATAAAGACTCCTACTGAAAAATCTTATTCTTGATAAAATGCCCGTCAGGTGATGGAGATTTTTTAATGGTGTCAGAATGGATGGGCTGAAAATGCGAAAATCGTTGTTTCCAAGAAAAACCTAATATCTCTAACACTAAAACCAATGGATAATTTCTAAGCTCGGCGCTGGATAGAGAACGCCAAAATGAAGAAGAAAATGGTTTTGCGACTTTTCTCTTGAAGTCGACAATATGCTATTGACGGTTTTTATTGCCGGTTTATTTTGCACACAAATTTTCAAAAATTTTCTACTTTTTGACTATCCCTATTTTGGGCAGCTCTTGGAAGATCAAAAACACTCAATATCGCCGAAAATAAGTGACTGTATTTCGTACATCGGCCATCATCAAGCCGTAGTGAGAATTTACTGTGTTTCCACTCAAACGAAGCCTTAACTTAGTACAAAATACATATCAATAGAATTTCAGTAGAGTCTCAGCTGCCACTTTGCCAAACCGCAATGAAACGACGAGGACATTGAAAGATGGTTCAGCTTCAAATACATGAAACACATTTGAGTGAAGGCAATGAAAAATTAGCAAAATATCCTAGGAAATTAATGAACTCAAAATGATAAAATACGCTGTAGATGGTGGCAATCAGAGTTGAAACCGATTTCTCAATGCTGGAAGTGTTTGACTTTCATGTATCTTAAACAATGCCAAATCTTTCATATTGAACAACCTTAATGGTGGCACAAATCTGATGTTTATTATTTATTTATGAAATAGCGCAGTTAGTAAATCAACAAATTTTCTAGTCGTTTTCGACCAAATATGGTCAGCAGGCTGACCGCATGTATTCTACATCAATTACGTAATTTAACCATATAATTCTTGTCGATTTCAAGGCACTTTGCTCGTGTGATATTTTAACACAAGTCTAAAAGCTCTTAAATCTATTCGATCAAAAGAAGGCTGATACTGGTTTAGTTTTTTTAAATTCTAATTCCCTTTACGTTTTATCTGAAATAAATATTCATTCGTTTAGAAACGTTTTATCTTAGCCGATTAAATATTTAAACACAACAAATATGCAATATTGCTGAACGCAATGTGTATGCAGTTGGAATTTACTTCCTATTGCTCATTTATCAACACTTTGAACCAGTCCCTCCTCATTTTCTCAATCTTCACATACTGGTTTCAGGTGTTTCGTTATAGAGATCACTAGGTTCGATCCATAAAACAATATAAATTTAGAACTATTTATAATTATGTCTGGGTTTTCGTGCATAAGTCTATTTCAACATTTTACGATTGTAAGTAGTATTAACAGGCAAACGGCAAATCGAGTTCAAAATAACTTACTCGAAAGCTTACATCGGTACGCATAACTGGCATAAACAGTAGTAGGTGTATTACTTAGCGGTCAATAGAGAAAGCCTCACTTTGTATATATCGTAATGTACTTCTGGATATTTTTAGGAAATTACATTATAACTTTTGCTGCTCATACAAAATCCGGTTAAAAATAGAACCAAACGTAAACGATGAAAAAGCTCCAAGAAATTAATTGAAATATGACTTCGTGACTAATTTGCAAGCAGTATAGCGCAACCAACTAAAATTTTCAAAATTAAGAAATCTATGAAAAGTAAGTTTAACAGCAATTAAATTACCTGTCCACTTATTGCATTTATTCCGTAATAGAACAGCAATACATTGCTCAACAGTAATAGGAGAGAATTAAGCACTCATTATATTGACTTGCATTGCTAATGAGAAATTATCACACGTCCAAGTGTATGGGAATTAAATTTAAAGGTCACAAT